CGGCCGCCGTCTCCTCAGAGGCAGAAGACGCGGCAGTGGCAAGCGAGGCAGTGAAGGTGGGAAGCTGTGGTACCGCACACCCCTCAAAGAGACGAGGAGGAGGCGCGGAAGAGGCAGAGGCAACAGCGAGGAGGTTACTCTCGATCTTCGAGAGAGCGGTCTCAAGAAGATCGATAGTAAGCTCAGTGGGGTGCTTTAGGAGAAGCGCGCCGCGGGCTGTGGCTAGACGGACAGGGAGGCGAGTGACTAACCAGTGAATAGTGAGCCACATGGGGGGGGGTGCAAGGGCAAGCTGTTCCTTAGTGCAAGCGGCCTTGAAGCGAGCTTCAAGGGAGCGCAGGTGGGTAGCGAGGTCAGCGACAGTCTCAAAGGAGGCGAGGTCAGGATAGATAAAGGGGAAGAGGAGGCGGTTGAGGGAGGCAGAGGAGGGAGTGGAGTAGCGAGCAACAATAGCAGTGTAAAGGTCTGCAGCAGACTCGACCTGAGTGAAGTGGACAGCCTCAGTCGGCGGGAGAAGGTCGGTCAGGGCGAGGCAGGCAGCAGCGTCACGAGACTCCCACACGTCACGAGCGAGGAACCGGCGCTGGTACTCAGCCTCCTGCTCCGAAGTAGGCGGTGGGGTAGTGGGCAGCGGTGAAGGCTGCGGCGGGGCGGGCAGAGCACCGGACGCATGCGCAAACAGGTGCACGCCATCCTGGCGCTGGCTCCTAAGGTGGCACTGGGCCTGCGTCAGCCAGGTACTAAAGTCGATCGCACGCCCCTTAGGGTCGAAACGAAGCACGCGAGACGTCGCCATGAGGGGCGAGGACAAGTGATAGCAGCCGCCAGCCGCGAGAGGAGGAGGAGAGGGAGGTGAGTGCGAGGCGGGTGCGCGCAGGCGGGGCGCGCACTGGCTGGGCGCGGGGCGGCGGGGCGCGCGCTGGCGGGGCGCGCTCCTGCGCGGCGCGCTGGCTGGCGTGGCGCGCGGGCGCGGCGCGCTGGCGGGCGGCTAAGCAGGGCGCGCGCTGGCGGGCGCGGCGCGCTGGCGTGCGCGCTGGCGGGGCCCGCTGGCGTGGCGCGCTGGCGGGCGCGCTAGCGGGTGCGCTGGCGTGCGTGCTGGCGGGCGCGCTGGCGAGCTCGCTGGCGGGCGCGCTGGCAGGCGAGCCGGCGGGCTCGCTGGTGCGCCCGCTGGCGGGCGCGCTGGCGGGCTGGCGTGCAAGCGGGCTGGCGCGCAGGCTGGCTGGCGCGCTGGCGGGCTGGCGCGCTGGCTGGCTGGCGTGCTGGCGGGCTGGCGCGCTGGCTGGCTGGCGCACAGGCTGCTGGCGCGCTGGCTGGCTGGCGCGCTGGCTGGCTGGCTGGCGCGCAGGCTGCTGGCGCGCTGGCTGGCTGGCGCGCAGGCTGGCTGGCGGGCGCGCTGGCTAAGGGCGGGGAGGGGAGGGGCGCGCCGGCTGGGGCGTGGGGTAGGGCGCTGGCGGGCTGGCAGGGTGCAGTGGTAACCCTAGTGGTAGGGAAGGGCGGGCCTAGGACTAGGAGCGCTAACCTACTGCTGATACCATGTCAGAATGAGAACTACAGCGGAATGCGTTGTGTTGACAGAATTGGGGTACATCACCTAACCCTAACTAGTTGTACCCCATATAGCCCAACCCACTACAGGCTATAATATTTGACAGGGGAGTGAGTGTGCGCGGGAGGAAAGGGAGGAGGAGGGAGTGGGGCGGAAGGGACGGCGGTAGGCAAAGAGATACGTCCACAGCGCATAGCACGCAGCGGAATGCTCGCCGTGGGTTCTCAGAAAAGTGGACGGCGGGCTAGCCGAATGCAATTCAACAGACCGCTGCATGGTTTTCCTGCAGGCTCGGCGATAGGGGAAATGGCTATCTCGCCGGAGCGCTCTCAGAAACGGGGACGGCGGCCTCGACAAAAGCAATTTTGCGGGAATGCTTTCTACGGCGAAAGGGGAAGGGCGATTTCCCCGATTGCTTGTCGACGGACCCGCGGAATGTTCGATGGCGCGCCCAACTATAAGGGGGACGACGTGCTCGCCGAATGCAACGTGGCGGCCTGGATTGGGTAGATTGCGGTCGCCTAATGAACCCTAATCTTTAGTTTATGCGAACTCACGAGATGGTTTAGTTGTCGTGATGACTAATAGAAGCTAATTAGCTAATTCAGACCCTGGCACCAATGCTTAGTGTCTGGTGACGAGTGCGTGCCTCTCTTTTGTGCAGACCAGGCCTGTTGTTTCGTTTTGGCCCCCCCGGAAAAATCAGGGGGCCCGGCATGTATGACCCTGTATTTAGCAGGGCTGGGGCGAATCTCGGCCCTTTAGGCTTCAGGGCTAGAAATTTTTCCTCCCTTGAATCAGGTTTGGCGCGAAAAAATCGGGAGCCTCATTTCAACTACCAAGCTTACAACTACGTTTGAGATCAACGACAAGCAAGCAAACACGACAAGAAGAGAAATAGTTAGCGTCATATCACTACGCACGCTTTGCAGGCTTCCTAGCCTTAGCAGAACCGATGATCGTCTGCACATCTTTACTACCCAACCTTCAGGGTAGTTCTTGTGCACTTCTACCCAACCTTAACCGTCACCCACTCCACAGAGAGCGTGCTGTGATTGGTTTAAGCACAAGTTCTAGGCTGAGTTGAATTTGTGGCCCAACCAAGCAACTCGAAATTGCCTTGTTGGATGCAATCAGGTTAGAAACGAAGGGGAAGGAGAGGGAGGAGTGTTGGGGGGGGGAGGGGAGTGGAAGGGGGGTCTCGAGAGATTTTGTTCCAGGGCTCGCCTAAAATCTGCCCTTTACACACCAAGCCTGAGCCCGAAATCAACCCTGTAAAGAATCAGGGCCAGAATATTTCCAACCCATCAATTTCAGTTTTCAAGGGCAACCCAGCCCTGGAATTCAAGGTCCAGCAGGGCAAACGCCCTGCAAGCGACAGCCCTGGTGCAGACACAATTCTCTCCAAGTGGTGGAGGGGCTCAGACTTTTCGCCAAACCTCTCGTCAAGCTGTTTCGCTTTCGCTTGGGCGAAATCGTTCTAGGTACTGTAGTCATTCCAGCAGTACTGCCAAATGTATACTGCTGCTTTAAGATGGCGATTGCTTTGGTATTTAGTGGAAACCCGCAATAGCAAATATTGAATGCATGCGATGTTGGCGCATCTAGAATTTTGCATATGCAATAGAAAATCGGATTGGTTTACAACGTTTTCTTACACACTCCCACATTTTGGGAGCAGTCGAAATCTCTCCAGTCCAGACACGTGACCTGACGGGTGCCTTCTGTAGAGTACACTTGAATGTCACATACACCCTTCCAATCTCGACCATCTACTAACTTAGCACGTATCTGGCAGGCTGACTTTGTTTTATTCAAAATGACTACTTATCTAACCATGCTGTTTTTTCACGTAATATTGCCCAAGTTTTTACCATGACAGAAAAGCTTCTTGCTTTCCGCATCCGAAAAGTGACGCGCATGCAAGCGTGGAGCGTGGAGCGTGAAAATGAGAGCGACCCCCAAACCACTCGTCTCATTCCTTCTCAGAAAGAGGCTCTCAGAGCCGAGCTGGTCTGGGCGTAGTGGCCGGCAGTCAAGTAGGTACGAGCCATCGCTCTGGTGGCTGCAGCACGACTCGTGCTAAAAATGTGAAGGCCAAGATCGAAACGTGCAGCGATTATTATTACTAACTAAGCAGCGCGGCGCGGCTACCTCAATCTCAACTCTCGCCGCGACGCGCGCGTGGCATTTGCACACCGGCACGGCGCCTTGCAGGCCGCGTCACGGTGACTCGGACCGCCAAGATGCGTTTCACCATGCTCGCGCGCCTTTGCACGCTCGCCTTGCCGCTTCTCAGCGTCGGCCTCGGAGGCACTGATGATTGCGACCCGGCGATTCCGGCGCGGATGCTGGCCCTGCTGACAGTGCGCGCGCAACCCCTGGCGGGGCCGCGGTGCGTGAACCGGTTTCCGCACAAGCCGCTGTGTAAGTTCGTCGACGACCTCGCCGCGTCGCCGCTCACCTTCCTCGACGCGCCGGCCGGCGAGACCATCAAACTCGGCGCGTATGACGTCTACCAGGCGAGTGCTATTGCTGTCTCATGGCTCAGCCGCGTTGTGGTGCCTCCAAGCCAACGTCGCAAAGAATTTTGCCATAAAACATTGCTCTTTGACTGACAAAACAATGTAAAGGCTATGTCCCACGGAACAATGCTCGAGGTTTATCATCAGCAATCCATTTCCGCAAGACAATGTTGCAGGAGTGCTCATGATGATTGGACAGACATACCCCCGCACGTTCGGCAAGGATTGCCGAAACACTCACGGCGCAATCTTCATTCACGATACAGTAAAAACACGCACGTGTCACGAATGGTGCATCTGCCACTAACAGGTTCGGTATAGCGCGGGGTCAAAATGCCAACACACATACGAAAAAAAAAATATTTGTGAAACAAACGAGATGCAGCAAACGCAGGTGATTACCTGCGTTTAGGGTAACACCCTCTAACAGCACCCTCCCAATAAGCAGCATGCTTTACAAGTAGCACCTCGACAAGTATAACGCACACGTAACATTGTTACAAACAACCTTGCATCGTCATGATTAGGATATACATTCGGAGCGCGCGGTCATACAACACGGTAGCATCCCGCGCTGTATTTCGCACTGCCACCCCGCGAGCCGCGTTTCCAGGAGGGGAGCAGGGATGTTCCTCTCAGGTCAGTCATTTCTTTCCCCCGCCTTGTTCGTGTGGTGGATTAGCAGCACGATTTGAACACACAGACAAATTGCACTGAAAACACCAAGGCCTAACACAGCACAAACACAAGCAACCATCTCACCACGTAAGCACCAGCTAAGGAAACAACACGAAGCAAGCTCGGTAGCACAAAAACAGACAGCAGCAGTGGAGTACATTTGAAACCAGGGAACATCGCAACGAGCGGGATGTCGCGAGGCCCAGTCGAACACCTAGCGACACAACCCACGTCCAAAGCCACGCATCCTCCTAGGTATCGGGCTCGTCATTGTCGCCATCATCTGCGACCGCGGGGGCCGGAAACGGGTGAAGGGGTGGAGCCAGCGGTGAAATGTCCTCCAGCCCGTCCTCGGAGATAATAACAGAGCTGCCCTGGCGAAATGCCCACGCACGGGCATTAGGGTCCCACCACGGCCCAGTAGCCGCAGTGCTCGCCATAATGCTCCGACGGGCCCACTCGACCACGCGATCGTGGTACCAGCGCACCGCCTCCTCGTTCCGCGGCACCGACCGTGGCATCTGTGTGCCGTTGATCAGCGGATACTCCACCTGCAAACGCCTCCCATACATGCGTCAGCGTGCATGACTTAAGAAACGCACAAACCCACAACAATGCCAAGCTCACCACCGTGATACCACTCACCCCGTAAAGCCAGAAGGCTATGACATAGGTCCGCAGGACAAGAGGGGGAGGGCTGGCGCGGCGGAAAGACTTGTAGATACCCCTCTCAAATGAGTCGGCCGCGAAGGGTAGGCCGTTGTGAACATGCCATGCGAGCAGCTGAAACGTGCCAGGCCCTGCGGAGTTGGGGTTGAGCAACAAGAGAGCACTCGGAGGTTAGGGAAGGATCCTATACAACCATCAGATACCCCAAAACGCGCGATGTTAGCGGTTGCGTACGTCACGTAGTAGTTACTACCTGCGCGATGACGGCCTACGAAGTCCTGGCGGGAGACTTGTGGGACCCCGTTAGCAGCCATGTCCGCAGGCACCGCCACCCGAGAGAAGGCCGGGGGTTCATAGGGCAACCCGTTGAGTACATAGACATACGCCCTTCCTTGCTCCCAGCGAGTGTTACGAAACATCTGCATCTTGCGAATGAACCACCCCGACCGAGACGCGTCGTTGGTCCACACTAGGTGAAGCTGTTGACGCTGTGCCCTTGTGCGGAGCCGAAGAGCACGAGCCATCGTGGCTTCGATGAGTAGCGGGGACGGCCAGAATGACATGCGCCCAACACGCGTGGCGTAAACGAGCAGCACAATCCCCTCCCCAACTGCGTCCTGAAATTGCGTAAGTAAGAGAAACAGGCTGTCAAGGCTTCGCAAACAACCACGCATCCGCTCAAAAAACATGCGGTGCAAGGGACAATATCAGTGTCATTGGTACCTTCAGGCCATTCAAGAGCCCAAGGATGACCTTGTTCGCGATTTCGAGATTGTCCGCCCATATCACCAGCTGCTCGGTAGGAGGGCCATGCCTGCCACGCACGATCGCAGTCTCCCTAGCGAGGGCCTGGGCCACGAATGGTGTGCGCACGCGCTCATGCTGCGGCTCCGCGCCACGTTGGTCAACAGTCGGGTTGCTCTCGCGCTGGCGAGTCGTTGCTGGCGCCCTGTTGCGCTGGCGGCTGGTGGCTGGCGCCGTGTTGCGCTGACCTTGGATGTCAGCATCCCCTTCCGCAATGTTGTTGGTGGCCGTACGGCGTGCCTCGCGGAGACGGGCGTTGAGCTCGACTATCTCCAGCTCGCGGGCGCGAAGGCGAGCAGCCATTGCCGCGTTCATGGCTGGGGCTGGTGCAGGCGCAGCAGCAGGGACGTTTACGCCCCCAGTCGCGGCCACGGTGGGGCCACGTCTGCCTCGCGCGGTGACGGCGGGAGTCACTGGTGCAGCATGGCTCAGCTCCGTGACTGGGCGCTGCATCGCTCGCGCCGCTGTCGACATCAAACAACAGCACTGTTAGCAAAAGTGAGTAACAACGTCAAAACGTCCAGCGTGCATGTTTAGGACCGTGAAACCACTCAAACACGCACCCTCCGCGTCCTCATCGACGAGTTCTGTTGGGGCAACTTGTGACGCCTCGCCAACGTCCTCGTCTTCTTCCTGATTGGCCGCCCACGTCGCGTACCCCGTGGTCGCGGAGTTGGTAATTTCATCGTCAGAGTCATCGCCGGCCGTTGCTGCGCTGCCGGTACGTCCATTGTTGGCACGCGAGGCGGCGCCGTAGTAAACCATGTCCCGGTCAAGTGCTCGTTGTCCCGCGTTCATCCTGCCAGTTTGGCGCATCGTGTCGTAAGGCGACCTTGCGGAGTCCATCGTTAGCAAAGCTCAACAATGCCTACGTTTGCCTTCTTGAGTACATTGAATGTTTCCAACGGGACCCTTCTTATAGGGAGCTTACGAGCACTGTGGTCCCAGGAACACAGTTCGCTACCACTTTCACAGCGTGGCTTGCGCCTTATCCTTACGCCCTCACCTTCAATACTTCCATCACCCCCTGCATGCGTGTGTACACATCACCACTTACCCCAAGTTACGTAGGCGTGTCGTGCGCAGACGCGCTGGCACGAGGGTTGCGTCTCGCCCATTTATCGTGATCCGATGGAACCATCACAAGCCTATCACGCATGTTCGAACCTTGCGTTGTCAGGATATTTGTGATAAGATTTCCTTGAGCCACGCTGTCATGCTGGCCTATGGGCGACGACACACGCATGAACGATCCACGGCACGTGTGTGCGCCAGTTGTCCTTGGGGTCCGGCGTGCAAGGGAACGCCCTTCCTTGCTGGGCCTACAGTTAGTAACTGTTCCACTGAGCGTGACGCAGTAGACTTTAGGTTCGTAATCCGCCCTACTCTTTTCAGAACCATGATGGTGTTTTTTACACACTGAGTCTGGCTGTCGTGCATTTTTATAACAAAGATCAGCCCAATTTCAATAATATTGCATTACACCCCGCATATGCTGTCAGAGTTGCGCGAAGTACGCATTTAGGACGACCCTACGGGTGCACATATGGACAGCGCTCGTCGCTGCAGTCCCTGTTCAAGCACCAGTCACGGTCAATTTTGAAGTCGTCATATTGCTGTGAGACGAGCCTGAACACCAAAGGCCCATCACAAATGGTCGGCGCTTCCCAGGGAAACTTGCAGTAATGCCACTGCACCGTGCACACCAAGGATCCCGCCGCCTCACGCGGCGGTATTTCCCACCACGCCATCATGCCAAGCGCGTGCACAAGCACCCCAGCTCCCATACCATCCGCACCGCCAATGTGAGAACCCTGCTGAAACTTGTCAGGTATTCGTCCCGGAAGTTTCGAGTGTTTGAAATCCTCACGCGCGTCGGGAGCCCCGACATAGTTGTAGAAACCTCTGTCGAGCTGCATGCGTGAAAATCCGAGCGAGGCATCGGTTCAACAAGAAAGCACATGTCAGGATTCACAAAAGCCAGTCAACTCACATTGTCTTCTACACAAGCGGCTCACGAAGGGTCAAGAATTCCTTAAACACAAGGCCTAACAGAAGCCTTACCACCCATCCTTCAGAATGCGCGAACTCCATGAGGTAATGACGAAAATCCTTCCTTGGCGGCTCGGTGGCAACGATTTCGTCGCCGTTCAAGGCCAGGACGTTGACGCCATGGTACCCTGATGCCGCCAGCTCCACAAACGCCTTAGCACGTTCGCGAAGTGATGCAGGGTCCCTGTCGTCGTTGAAAACTGCCTCAATGACGCGGATGTCAAGGTATGTGAGGTCAGCATCGTGCTCCAGCCCACGGAACTCTCGCAGATTGTCTTCCGAGATGCGACGCAGCTTCCAGGCCGCGGCGCGGCTATTAGTTACCAAGTGCTCAATGCTGTCCGCAATCTTTTTGGGAGTCGGATGCTCGTCACTGGCCAGCAATCGCGAGTATTCAGCTTGCATCACAACAGCTGCAATGTCGGGGTAGTCGCGCACAAACACGTGAATGTTACCAGGCCTCGTTTTGGCTGTCCTTGTGCGCGGCCACGTCGGGCCCGGGTATCGGCTGTACGGCTCGGTGTTGTCTCGGTCGCGTGCACACCGCCAGCGTCGCTTGTTGTTGTTCACGGTTCCCAAAACGAACTGGGACGCGGAGGATGCCATAGCTAAAAGTGAGTGGGTGTGTGAGAACTTGCAGAGGACGAATGAGTAGAAAATGCGTTCCTTGCCTTTGCAAAATGCGTTCTTGAGATTGCAAGATTTGGCCCGCATGACTCGTTATTGCACTACAAGCTCCTGTGTGTTTAGGCCATGTCCTTCTGTAGAAACAAATAGCACCTTCCGAAATTTTAGAACTTGGTGTATCGGAAGAAATATCCGTTACACGCTTGGTGAGGTGTCACTACAATCGGAATGATTGTGCGGGTCATATGAAACCCTATACAGGTCAGCGCACGCATTCCATCTCACTTGAAGGAGTGTCCAGCGCTGGCTCAACTTAGTATCTAGATTTTTAGTAGGTGCCGGGCAGGAGAACGTGCCAGTTGCGTCATCTGGCACAACCTACAGTTTGTACTATACGCCTTCGAATCTTGTGGAGTCTCATCGTCGACTTGACATTGGCTTACCCGACGTTGCGGCATCTTAGCGAGCACCTGATTCATCACTAATATACTGCCTGACGTGGCTTGGATTACTGTGAGAAGAGGCTCGGGGCGCGGAGTTTATCGTGGCTTAGCCCGCCCTGGAAGGCATCGTCACGCGATAGGCGCGTCAACCGTGTGTCTAACCGCCTGCGGCTAACGGGATAAATATGGCCTCAAAATATGTGCATTTCATCAAACAGAGCATGCAAGGCGAGCTGCTGCGATGCCGCCTGTATCTTACCTTTTTGCCTGTGAATGGTGCCTCGAGCACTTCACGCAACGCACAGCGCTGGTAGCTCACAAGCTGCATAGTCACGAATGCCGTAGGCAACGCAGGCGGTACTTTCGGTTCCTCCGTGCCAACCCCTTCGCTGACATCAATGACTATTTTGCCGAGGCATCTCTGACTGCCGAAGACGAGCCGACATCCAATGCTGAAGATGAGGGAGACATGGAAGAGGTGAGCCCATTCATGTGTAATGTTGCTGTATAGGTTGGGCTTTCACTGCACGCATGTGAGTAGCAGACTTAACCAAGTCCGGCCTTTATTCCGTTTCCGTGCAGGGCTCTGAAGGCCAACCCCCCGGCGGTGCAGGCACCAACGAGGAAGTGCAGTCGGAGGATGGGTCTGACTGGGAGAGCGACTTCGGCGACGGTGATTCAACTGAGAGTGATGATGACGACAGCGCCGTCGACGAGAACGATTTCAACACAGCCTTGGAGTTCTTCCGCTTCGTCATCGGATGCAATGGCGGCCAAGGACTCAGCGACGAGGCCACGGTCTGGCTTTTCAAGCTCCTGCGCGACCCCCGCCTGGATCTGGAGGCTATTCGCCGCTGGCGTACCAAACACGCCGTCCTTCAGTACGGACTTCGCCTCATGATGGCGAGGCGGGTGTACAGGCAGGTGGAAGTGCGCATCCCAGGGATCGACCACACATTCGAGCTGATGTGTACCAGCTCTATCAAGGTACGATTTGCAATCAGAGTTTGCACTTGCCTCTGTCCACCCTTCCTTCAGTCAACACTTGCCTCTGTCCGCCCTTGCCTCTGTCCGCCCTTGCCTCTGTCCGCCCTTGCCTCTGTCCGCCCTTGCCTCTGTCCGCCCTTGCCTCTGTCCGCCCTTGCCTCTGTCCGCCCTTGCCTCATTTTGCCCTTGCCTCATTTCGCCCTTGCCTCATTTCGCCCTTGCCTCATTTCGCCCTTGCCTCATTTTGCCCTTGCCTCATTTCGCCCTTGCCTCATTTCGCCCTTGCCTATGTCCTCCCTTGACACTGTCCGCACTTGCTCCGGCGCAGGGAGTCGTGGAGATATTCGGCCACCGTGACAATGCAGATGGCTTCCAGCTGTTTGCCCGTCCGGTACACTCGGTGGCGGGACGCGTGTACACAAGGCCGGAGACTGGTCTTCTGTGGGAAGCCGCACAGGTACGGGACTGTGTTTCTGGGTTGTACCCCCTTTGTAACTAGTTTAAGGCGTTTCTCATCTGGGTTTCTCCAAATGGGGCCGGCCACAAATCACAATCCTGTTTCCCACGTTGCTCAGTTATTGTGTTGATCTGGAACGAAGCTGCCCTTGTTGTGTTTGTTGTTGGCAGAACGCCCTGGACGAGATCTATGGCCCGGGCCAGGTGGTGGCCCCCATCATACTTTCAAGTGATGCTACGATTCTCAGCGGGAACGAGCGCGTGAAGGTTTGGGCGGTTTACCTAAGCATCGCCAACATCCACCTCCGTCTCCGTTGGGGTGATTCGGGGAAGATTCTGCTTGCACTACTCCCAATGCCTGTCCATGGAATGACGGCCGAGCAGAAGGTGCAGCTCTTTCAAGCTGCGATGCAGGTGGTCCTCGCTGACCTGATTGCCGCATCATACACATGAGTGCCAGCAGCCATTGGCCCAGCCAAAGCCGCAGTCCGCCCTTCACTCAGTGTTTTTTTATTGCCTTAACACGCCCTTGGCTCTTTCCGTCATTGCGTCAATGTGCCCTTGGCTCTGCCCCCTTGGCATCTTTCTGCCTTTGCCTCTCTTCGTCGTTGCCTCAATACTCCCTTGCTACAGGGGGATTGCGGCCCGCGATCCATGGGGGGTGGACCGGGTCATATGGCCTCTGCTCTTCTCATACGTAGCGGACTTCCCAGAAACCTGCAAGGTTTCGTGCACTCAGCAGCATGGCAGTCATATGCCATGCTCCCTGTGCTACGTGGATAGGGGGCAGCTCAGGAACATGACGGCAGCTGCGTCGGAGTCGCGCTCTGTGGACCAGCAATCGTCACTGATTGCCAATCCTCGGCTGGCCAGGACGTACTCCACGCTCTGTGTCGCGGTATGTATCGGCTCTAAGTTGGAGGTTTGCGCCTGTCGTGGCCTGGTTGTTCAGCCCATGCGGTAGGCACCGTGTTTACGTCGTTTTTGCTCTGTGCATGCAGTCGTTCCTCTGGGAGTGGAACTTCTCCCGTACACTTTGGGGGAACACCTACCTCTCCCAGATGCCAGACATCCTACACATCATCTACCTCGGGTTCTGGCTGTACCTTCGCGCTGCACTGCGTGGCCCTGATTCCCGCGCCACCACCTTAGACAGGTACGTTTGCCCCTAGGCATTTGCTAGGCGGGTGTCCAGCTCGACTGTCCGCACTTGCCTTTGTCCGTCCTTGCTCTGTCCGCCCTTGCCACTGTCCGCCCTTGCCTCTGTCCGCCCTTGCCACTGTCCGCCCTTTGCCTCTGTCCACCCTTGCCTCTATCCGCCCTTGCCTCTGTCCGCCCTTGCCTCTGTCCGCCCTTGCCTCTGTCCGCCCTTGCCTCTGTCCGCCCTTGCCTCTGTCCGCCCCTTGCCTCTTCCCGCCCTTGCCCTGTGGGTACTTGCTCTGTCCGCCCTTGCCTCTGTCCGCCCCTTGCCTCTTCCCGCCCTTGCCCTGTGGGTACTTGCTCTGTCCGCCCTTGCCTCTGTCCGCCCTTGCCACTGTCTGCCCTTGCCTCTGTCCGCCCTTGCCACTGTCCGCCCTTTGCCTCTGTCCGCCCTTGCCTCTGTCCGCCCTTGCCTCTGTCCGCCCTTGCCTCTGTCCGCCCTTGCCTCTGTCCGCCCCTTGCCTCTTCCCGCCCTTGCCCTGTGGGTACTTGCTCTGTCCGCCCTTGCCTCTGTCCGCCCCTTGCCTCTTCCCGCCCTTGCCCTGTGGGTACTTGCCTCTGTCCGCCCTTTGCCTCTGCCCGCCCCTTGCCTCTTCCCGCCCTTGCCCTGTGGGTACTTGCTCTGTCCGCCCTTGCCTCTGTCCGCCCTTGTCAATACGCATTTGCCTAATGTGATGCAACCTCACGAGGTCAAACCCACTGCGATTGGTGCCCAAGATGTCTCCGGCATTCGTTGCTATCAACATTCTTCATATGGTGCAGGCGTCAGAATGCACTACACCCAGGCGCCAGGCAGGCGGGACTGCTAACTCCTGGAGACGCGAGCTACTGGGTCTCTGGTGCCAACTTCACCGCGTCGGAGCATGCCGCTGTCATGATGGTGCGCCCTTACCTTCTAGTTTATGCTCTCGTACGAGTGCCCAAATGCACGTGACGGTTGTCAGATGGCATTTGCTGACTACGCGCTTCCTGTGTGGCAGATTGTACCATTCGTGCTGGAGGGGGAAGTTGCGGTCATTTGTAGTTGCACGATTGTCGCCTTTCTGGACTGGCACGAGACTTTCGTGCGGGCTGCGGAGCACACGGATGAGAGTCTGAGTGCATTCGACACTGCCACTCGCAGGTATGCTGTGTGTGAGCTTGTCCACAAGCGCTGCAGTTGCCGCCAGCGTTATGCGGGAGTCTAGTCTAATGCTTGACACTTATTCTCTTTGTTTCCATGCTTTCAGGATGGTGCAGTTGGTGGAAAGCACCTTTCCACGCGAGCACTCTGGGTGGAACCTTGTGAAGGTGCACCTGCTGCTTCACCTTACTGAGGCGATTCGAAGGGGGGGCCTGCCACGAGAGTACTCCGCGGCGGTGTACGAGAACGCACACATCCGCACCTGCAAGAGGCCGTACCGACGGTCCAACCTTCGGGACGTGGGGCGTGTGATTGCGCAGCACAACACCAACGCTGCTCTACTGACCCGTATCCCAACCAACCTCGAGGGCAACCGCCAGTACAACACCGCGATGCGCCGGGTAAGGACGCATGTAAGGATCCCTAATGTGTGCTGTAATTATGCATGTCGGGTCATTCCGCCATTGCCCTTTGCCTCTGTCCCCCCTTGCCTCTGTCCCCCCTTGCCTCTGTCCGCCCTTTGCGGTTGTCCCCCCTTGAATCTGTCCGCCCCTTGCCTCTGTCCCCCCTTGCCTCTGTCCGCCCCTTGCCTCTGTCCGCCCTTTGCCTCTGTCCCCCCTTGAATCTGTCCGCCCCTTGCCTCTGTCCCCCCTTGCCTCTGTCCGCCCCTTGCCTCTGTCCGCCCCTTGCCTCTGTCCGCCCCTTGCCTCTGTCAACCCCTTGCGGTATGACTGAGGGGTGGTGATAGTTTAAAGGCTTGTGGGCTGAAAGACGTTGTCTCGCCCCATCCGCCTGTTTGGCGGGTGCTGAGTTGCAGACCATGTGTTCATTTGCCCCCCCACACCCACATGTCATCACACTGCAGGCAATCGCCAGTGGGCTGCCCCAGCTGTGCCGCCAGCGATCCAGGATGCACAGCGCGATCACGGACAGGGAGCAGGCTCCCCTGGACCTGTACGCGACGTACGATGCTGCAATCCCGGGAGGCATTGGGCCATACGCCTACTTGACGCGCCTCTTTGGCTACGTCTCTTTTCCGGCGTGGGTAAGTACTGGGTTCTGCTGCCCCCATGACAACACCATGCTCTCTCTCCTTTTCCACCATGTTTTTGAACGTACTACCACCCTGCCACGTCTCCTGCCCCCTTACCCCTCTCGTGCCATCAGGTCCACACGGCGCTGGCTCTACCAGCCCGCGGGACGGACCACGGCCTGATCAGGCCACACTATGTCCGCGCCAACCCCTCTCACCACGGTGCTGCCACATTCTCGTTCATTGAGTACGAGGATGGGACTGGGGAGACCGTGGTCGGCCGCGTGCACCTGCTCCTGACGCTGATGATGAACAGCGAGGATGCACACCCCGCGGGAGAGGCCGTGGCCTTCGTGAGGCAGTGGTACCCCTCCCTGGAGGACGAGTGCACTGGCTGCATGAGGATGCGGCCATCTGATGACGAGCTGAGCTACGACCTTGTGCCGGTCGCCTCCGTGCAGAGGACCGTGCACATGGTGGAGTCGTTTGTGACGCCTGGCCTCTGGTATCTTAACAGGTGGGCTGGCCGATGCCGCGAGGAGTTGCCCTAAGGCCGCCCAGGAATATGCAGTGAATCAAGGTTCTTCTTTTGTGCTGGAATGATTGTCACCAAGCCTTCTCTATGGTTTGGTTGCTACTAGGAAAGTGGAGATGCGTGTCGGTACTTGCCTCTGAAATCTATTTCTTTCCAATTGGGTGTTATCGTAGCTTGGAAGGGTCCCTTGTGTGGCTAGTAGTTGTTGTGTGCCTTTTTTTTATAATATTTTATTCTGATGGACGTGAAGTTTTTTGTTGAATCACAGGCACAACACTATGTTCTTAACTCTTATCGGATGCTACAGTTTTGAGATGTTAACACGGAAGCTTGCAGAGCGTATACCAACCCCAGCTGGAGACACAATGTGAAAGGGGTTGCATTGGTAGTAGCTAGCGTGACAGTGCGCAGGCAATGCCTGGGCCGGAAAAATTGCTTCGGGAGTGCACACAGCTTTCGAAGCCATGCCCCAGCGCGCATGGCTGAAGGATACGCCGGATGTTGACAGGTTTTGGGCGTCCCGTTTTTTGCGACGAAGGTATCACATTGAGAAATGGCGGGTGCCTGGAAGGTACCAGGCCTGGAATCTGACGGCCGTTTGACGCCTGCGGCGCTCACAACTCAGATGCCAGTCATTCAAGCAATGAATGTTGCAGGTGGTTAGCTAACCACGACCTAAAGGGACCTACGTCGACCTAAGAAGAAATCGGTGTGACTAGCAGTGACTAAGGGGGAGTAAGGACCTAAGAAGAATATGAGCTACTTGTGTTGGGGTGGTAGATGAAGGAACACGGCAGCGGCGGAACCTATGGTGAGAAACGGAGAGAACAAGAGGGAGCGTGCGGATGTGGAGAAGATCAGGGCTGAAATGTCGAGATTTGAAGTGAAGTGAAGGGAAGTCACGCCGGGTCAAAGGCGCGTCCAAGGAAGTCTGAAATTCGAACTCGAGGCGCGTTCGGTGCATGGTTGGATTTGGAAATTGAGCCGAGTACAAGTCAGCTCGAAATTAGGCGCGGCGCGAGGGCGAAATCAGAAATCCTTTTGCTTATAACTTGCTTTGTGTTTTCTGTTTTTGTATGCCTTCTTCAATGAAATTACTTGAACTTTCTGCCTTGACGTTTTCCAGCAAATTCCTTCACACAGTTGAGGCCAGAGCTTCATATGCTTGTTACTAAGACTCTAAATAGTCTTCATAGTCTAGACTAAAGGCTGCGCACGTACAAGAGCTGGTATCAGAGCTGGTTTAAGGCGTGTTCTAGCGTTTTGAGGATAGGCGGAATATACTAAGTATGACGGACGATCATACTGAGGCGAGTTCGGGCTCCTCTGTGAGCATTGGAGGCTCAGAACTACAGGCCATCCTAACAGCGCTAGCACAAGCTAAATTGACGGCGAAGCCAACGATTGGGCTTAGCGAGGCCCAACGGTTCCATGGAGAAAATTATAGCACGTGGCGACTCAAGTTCATTCGTAGAGCGGAGGAAGTCGATCTCTGGCCATATTATCATCCCGACAAGGAGACGGGAGAGGGCATCCCACCATCTGCAAAAGAAAAACCAGAAGAAAATGCGTCATTCAAAAAAAGGAGTAAGCAAGCCTTTTCTCAATTGTGCCATTCGGTTTCTGACAGCATTGCAGTGGGGCTGGATCAATTTGCGGGAGAGGAGAACTCTGCCGAACGAGCCTGGGAGTACATGGAAGCTGCTTACCTTGGGCTTACGGATACGAACAAAGCAGCCATTCGGAAGAAACTCCTTCTATTGAGTATGGAGCCGGGGGAGAGGGTCATTGACTACATGAATCGAGCGAAGGGGTACAATGACGACCTCAAGGCTATGGGGGCAGCTGAAACTGAAGGAGAAATGATGGGGTACATCATTACTGGGCTGCCCAAGGAGTGGGAAGCAGAGATAGGGCTCCTAACCTGCAACCCACCCGCGAATATGACCAAGCTGTTGGAGACGCGCCAAGCTCTGGAGCGGGTGAAAGCTGATCGGCTCAGGAAGGAGGTTAGCTTGAATGGAATGGGACCAGCCACTCATGCCATGGTAAACGCAGCAGCTACAGGGAAAGGATATGGAGGATTCGGGGCGTGTTTTCAGTGTGGAAAGAAGGGTCATAAGCAGATAGACTGCTATGACAACCCAAGGAGCAGAAATTTTAAAGGGAAATGGAGCGGTCTGCAGCAGAAGGGGCTGCAGAACGGATGGCAGAGAGAGGGGGAGGTTCGAGGTGATAACAAGATGCAGAGAGGTGGATTTTCAGGGGTATGTCACTATTGCCAGAAAATTGGGCATAGGGCAGCCAACTGCTACTCGAACCCGAACAGCAGGAACTACCGAGGGGCAAACCAGCAGCAGAATCAACCAACAGCAGCAAAAGCAAATGCAGTGGAAGCTGAAAACAGTGAGGCGGACATAATTTTGGGGGGAGCTCACAAGGCAAACGTGGCAAGGGCATCGGGAGTGTGTTTGATGGCAAAGGGGTTTGGTGAAGCTGCGTGGTTCATGGATAGTGGCTGCACGCAACATATGACCAATCATCGTGAGTGGCTTACCGGATTGAGGGAGTCTAGTGTACCCTACGTTCTGTTGGGCGATGAAGGAAAACTGAGTGTGAAGGGGGAAGGAGAGTTGCTGCTCCAGGGAGAGTACGGGGAGCTGAAACTGGAGAATGTGCTTTTAGTGGAGAAGCTGTCACTGAATCTGATCAGCCAAACTCAACTTGACAGCACGGGGTGCAAAACCTTCAGCGACAAGGGGAAGCTGTGGGTTTTCAATGAGGATTGGAAGGTGGTTGCAGAAGGGAACAGAAATCAGGGGTTGTATGAAATGAAGCTGAGGAAGAAGGGGCTGGAGGATGAGAATGCCACCTACCTGCCATCACTCGAAGGGGACCTAGCTAGGGAGGAGTTGAAGGCTCGGCTTGGTGGCTTACCAGTGAAGGAGCTGCAGCAGGAAGCTTCAGCCATGGTGGTTGGGATGGAGAAGGTGAAATTGGAGACCTTGCACAGGCGCATGGGGCATGCAAGCATGGATAGGGTCAAGGAGTTGGTAAAAAAGGGCATGGTAAAAGGTGTGGCACTGAAGGAGGGGGCTGGAACCAAGGGAAAATGTAGCAAGTGTGTTGAAGGTAAAATCACAAAGTCCCCTCACCCCCACCACCAGGTACATGAGCCTTATGGCACCTTGGACATCGTAGCTGCCGACGTGTGTGGGCCTATGAGGGTGGCATCACGTCACGGCAGCCGCTACTTCGTTACCTTCACTGATTTGGGAACAAGGCACACATGGGTGACGGAGCTGAAAGATAAGGCAGAAGTGTTTCCTAGCTCCGTGACTTGGATGGCGGAAGCGGAGCGGCAAAGTGGGAAGGTGCTGAAAGTTTTAAGGACAGATAATGGAGGGGAGTTTACTGGTGAGCTATTCAACAAGTTTCTACAGAGTAAAGGCATCCGACGGCAGCTGACTGTACCCTACACTCCACAGCATAACAGCATAGCGGAGCGGGTGAATCGGTCACTACTAGGCAGTGTGAGGAGCATGCTTGCCGACAGTGGGCTGCCACTGAAGTTCTGGGGTGATGCATTGGCAATGGCTTGCTGGTACAAGAACCGCCTACCTACGAAGGGACTTCAAGCAGATATGACTCCCCACGAGGCCTTCTATGGCAGGAAGCCGAATCTGGGGTTTGCACGGGTGTGGGGGAGTATGGTGCAATACAGAGAGCCAGCTGGTCCGGATCATAAGTTGCTGCCCAAGGCTCATTGGGGGATTAACCTCGGTACCTGCCCAGTGAGCAAGGGGTGGGTGATAAAGGATGTAATTTCAGGAAAGGTCACGATCACCCGGGATGTTGTCTTCTACGAGGAGGTGAACTACCTGCAGTGGAAGGGAATAGAGAAAGAGATTGCAGCAGCAGGGACAGCAACTGCACCGGACAAGGTGGAGGATCTTTTGGAGGAAAAGGAGAGTGAGGGAGTTGGAGATGAAGGAGATGAGGAGCTTGAAGATGTGGAACGGGCAGATTCAGTCGATTGGGTGTGGGAGAAGGTACCAACCAGTGAAGCGGATGAAACCAATGGAGTGGAGATAGCAGGGGAGCAGCCAAGCAATGAAGTAGCTGAGGGTGGCAATGATGAAGTGGCTGGAGAAGAGGGAGATGAAGAATCAGCAGCTGAAGGAGATAGTGATCCTTGGAAGCTCCTAGATAGTGAAGACAGCAATGTCAAGATGAGAGGGATAGCGGACCTGCTTAAGGAAGGTGCCATCATCATTGGAAGGGAAGTGAAATCTGGAGATGAGAATGAGAAGGCAAAGGAGGATCTCAGTGGAGATGAGGCTGAATCACCTACAGAGGAGTTGGGGAAAGGAAAGAGGGTGAAGAAACCAAACCCTCGGTATGCGCAACTGCTGATGACGTGCTGGAAGGACATCCATACCCACCTTCTACTCTCTGCCACAGCTACTGACCTAGTCTCCAATGAAGGAAAAGTGACCCACAACCTGCCCAAAGAGCCAGTGAGCATCGAGGAAGCGCTAGAGGGTCCAGAAAGAGAGCAGTGGAAAGCAGCAATAGAGGAGGAGTTGAACACATTGGCTGAAAGGGGCACATGGGAGCTCATGCCTATGCCGGAAGGGAGGAAAGCCGTGGGGGTGAAGTGGATTTTTAAAATCAAGACCGGAGATATGGGGCAGCTGGAAAGGTTCAAAGCAAGGCTTGTAGCCAAGGGCTACACTTAGGTGGAGGGGAAAGACTACCAACAAAATGAGATCTACGCTCCAGTGAGCAAGTTGGCAACGGCACGGGTCTTTCTCAAGGTGGTAGCAGCAAGAAAATACTTCATGGTGCAGCTGGATATTAAAAACGCGTTTTTGTATGGGGTGTTGAAGGAGGACATCTACCTCGAGCAACCACCAGGGCATGACGACGGCTCGGGCAGAAAATGCAAGCTCAACAAGGCATTATATGGGCTGAAGCAGAGTCCTAGGGAGTGGTACATGGCAATGGATGAACGGCTGCTGCAAGGGGGATTTCAGAAAAGTGAGTGTGATAGGGCGTTCTACTGGAAGGGAGAAGGGAAGGAGAAGGTGTTCCTGGTGCTATATGTGGATGACATCTTGGTGGCTGGGGTGTTAGAGGAGGAGGTAGAGAAGGTGTGTGCTCATCTTGCGGAAGTTTTTCAAGTGAAGCAGATTCCGAGGACCACACTCTTTCTCGGCATGAATCTGGAGCGACGTAAGGAGGAGAGGAAGATGTTCCTATACCAGCAGAAATATTGCAGCAGGGTGCAGCAGAGGTTTGGCAACGACTACACGAAGGCAATTTCTACACCACTGAGTGGGGTAGCTGAAAGCGACAGTGAAAGGGAGGAGGATGTCAACCAATGGGGCTGCAAAGAGAGAGCTCTGCAAGTATATCAGTCTATGGTGGGGTCTATCATGTATCCGGTCTCATGCACGCGCGTCGACATGGCATACGCAGCTAGCTATCTTGGGCAACAAGTGCAGCAGCAAGGGGAGAGAAAATGGAGAGAGATGAGGAGGACTATTGACTACCTACTGCAACATGAAGATGAGGGGCTGTTATTTGAAGGAGGTGAAGAGACCTTGGAGTTAGTGGGGTATGCGGATGCTTCACATGCATCCGACAAGAAAACAAGGAAGGGAGCATACGGTTACGTGTTTCTGCTCGGTGGGACAGCCATCATGTGGCAAGCGAAAAGGTTGGCTGACATAGCGCTCTCTAGTGCGGAAGCGGAGTACATGGCTCTGTTTTTCGCGTGCCAAGAGGGGGTTTGGTTGAGAAGGCTACTCAAGGAGATGGAAATCAAGGTGGAAGGGCCGACAGTGATACGCACGGATAGCAAATCTGCCATCGACTTGGCTCACAACGACAATTGGCACGGGAGGACCAAGCATATGGATGTGAAGTATCATTGGGTGCGTTCAAAGGTGAGTAGCAAGGAGTTCAAGTTTGAATTCGTACGTACGGAGGCACAAGCAGCAGATTTTCTGACTAAGGTGTTACCAAGGGCTAATTTTGAGCGTTGCAAGAGAGAGGTTGGGATGCGTACTTTGGCTGAATTGCAGGGGAGTGTGGAGCAGGGCTAGAGGTGGTTCAAGTTGAAATGTGCGAGGGAGAGTGCATAAGCTGGTGGTAAGCAAACCACAGGGGAGATTGTTGCAGGTGGTTAGCTAACCACGACCTAAAGGGACCTACGTCGACCTAAGAAGAAATCGGTGTGACTAGCAGTGACTAAGGGGGAGTAAGGACCTAAGAAGAATATGAGCTACTTGTGTTGGGGCGGTAGATGAAGGAACACGGCAGCGGCGGAACCTATGGTGAGAAACGGAGAGAACAAGAGGGAGCGTGCGGATGTGGAGAAGATCAGGGCTGAAATGTCGAGATTTGAAGTGAAGTGAAGGGAAGTCACGCCGGGTCAAAGGCGCGTCCAAGGAAGTCTGAAATTCGAACTCGAGGCGCGTTCGGTGCATGGTTGGATTTGGAAATTGAGCCGAGTACAAGTCAGCTCGAAATTAGGCGCGGCGCGAGGGCGAAATCAAAAATCCTTTTGCTTATAACTTGCTTTGTGTTTTCTGTTTTTGTATGCCTTCTTCAATGAAATTACTTGAACTTTCTGCCTTGACGTTTTCCAGCAAATTCCTTCACACAGTTGAGGCCAGAGCTTCATATGCTTGTTACTAAGACTCTAAATAGTCTTCATAGTCTAGACTAAAGGCTGCGCACGTACAAGAATGAAAATCACGGTGTTTGTGAAAACATGCTAACGGTGGCACCGGTGTTACAATAATGGTTCTGCATTTTTGGAAACCCACACCAATCCCCTCCTCCCGCCTTCAGCCTCCCCAACCCCCCTTTCCCGCCCGTCTTTCAGGCTGGTGTCAAAGAGTCCTGCGTGACAGATCTAAGACTCTTTGATCTGTCACCGCAGGCAGAATTCCCAAAAGACTCATCTGGGATAGTTCGAAATTTTGCTGATGGTTGGAAAGTCTCTGGCGAGATGGTTTCAGGATGCTTTTGGGAGCAAACTTTTTTTACCGATGCTGTTCTGCCTCCCCCCGGCCCGCAATGCGAGCAGAAGTTCCACCACGACCTGCCCGACACCAATCCGCCCTCCCGCCTTCCGCCTCTCACACCCCCCACCCTCCCCCCCCCCCCCAAACTTCCCCAACCCCCCCGTCCCCCCTCCCAACAAGCAGAAGTTCCATCGCGACCTGCCCGACACCAAGGTGCATGCGTGCGGCGCCTCCCGCAGCTCACACGTTCCCCTCCCCTTTCGATTCTTCCCTCTCCCCAACCCATCCCGCCCCCCCCCCACTCCGCCTGCCCAATGCGAGCAGAAGTTCCATCGCGACCTGCCCAACACCAAGGTGTATGCATACGGCGCCTCCCGCAGCTCGGCGCGCTACCCAGGCCCCGTGCTCGTCGCCACACGCGGCACCACCACCAAGGTGAGCGCGGCATCACGAGCACCAGCGAGGTGAGCACCAGCAAGGTGAGCACCAGCAAGGTGAGCATCAGCAAGGTGAGCACCAGCAAGGCGCGGTAGTACCAATGGGCTGACTCGGTCAGCCGCTGTCAATCTCAGTCGGGCGCAGTGGTTTGCGCCAATCAAGACATTTGCAGTCTGGTGTATTTTGAGGCGCCTCAAAATACACTTCAGTCTCAGTCGGGCGTAGTGGTTTGCGCCAATCAAGACATTGCAGTCTTCAGTTCCTGTAATCAATGCTGCTTTTCTGCACCTTGGCGGAACGGAAGAATCATTCTATTTGAGAGCTTCCAAAGAGTCTCATCTGCTTCCAAAGAATCGTTCTTTTTATGTAAGCGCTGATGGTTGTCTCGATGTGCTGATATACGGTGTTGTTGCTAGCTAGCTTAACGTTCCACTGACTAATGTAGGATGCAGCTACTTGTCACCAATCACATCAACCCTTTCTCCCTTATTGATCTCAACCTGTTCTCTTTAGCGATGTCCCTGATTCACTCGAAGCTAAGCTCATTAGATTGCTCACTTGCTCAACATCATGTTCACGATCGCAGGTGAAGTTCTCGAATCGCATCCGAGACAAGGCACACATGTTTTGAATCGACTCAAAACAGACCTTTGTTCAACATCATGTTCACGATGGCAGGTGAAGTTTGTGAATCACATCAGAGACAAGACACACATGTTCAAGGTCGACCCCACACTTAGCGTGCCCGAACTCACCAACGGCGGTGTGCCCATCAGTAAGTCAGAAATAACCACGGTATGGTTATTACCATGTGAGTAAGAATAACGTTTGCAGGCGCGGTTATAGCAACCCCTTTTGCAACCCCTTTCTATCATGAGGGTCGGCTTTGCTGGTAGTAGACTTCATTCCACTCTTTTCATTGACTTCAGGCGTTTCAGTGGGGTGGATTTAGCTTCCAGTGCGGCACAGACTGTTATCATCTAGTTCACAAAACATTCTGATCGCGTCTCGTCTCCAGCATTCCCCTTCGGTCCGCCTCATTCTCACAAACAACCCAATAACTTTGCTCTCATCGCAGCCGTCCATAGGCAGAGAGTGGTGACCTCCAGTTCACTTTTTCCTGAAACTCCTCCTTGTTACCGCTTCCGTTCACTTTGCTCTCATCGCAGCCGTCCATAGGCATGGCGGGGAGACGCCAAGCCGATCCGACAGCCATCCCATGGCATGGTACACTGCCTTTGGGGAGCAGGGACCCGAGTTCGAATCCCAGGAGCACACATATCCGAACATGCAGCGCGCGACGATGCTGTGGTACCACGACCACACGATTGGCATGGCCGCACTGAACTTGCTCGCGGGAATGGCGCGACCCGCAGGGCGAGGAGAGGCGGCTCAAGAAATGGCTGCCACGTGGCGAGCGGCAATTGCACCTCGTGATTGCTGACAGGACCTTTTTTCCCAACGGGTCGATGAATTATCCGAACCAGGGACTCGTGCCTAACGTGCACCCGAACTGGATACCCGGTTATATCGGCAACGCAAATGTTGTAAACAGCAAGGTGAGACAAAGAGATGATTTCTTCTGCTGTTCTTTCTTTCTTTTTTTGCCAATGCATGCCTGTTCTGGATCAAATCGATGTGGTACTGTGATGGATCTCCACCCCCATTTCTGACCAATCACATTGTGTCATTTCCCCAACGTTTTCCCTCAGGTCTGGCCGTTCCTCAACGTTCGGCGAGCGATGCATCGGATTCGCATGGTGAATGCAGCCAACGCGCGCACGTATAACCTTCCAGTGCGCTGCGCGTGGTGACCACAACTTCAATCCCCCTCTTGCTGGACCCCTGCTGCCCTTCTACCTGGTGAGGAGAGAACAAGGCTCCTAGCTGCTTCCGACGTTGACGTCCGAACGGATAATTACCCTACAGATGCACTTGCAACAATGATATCATTCAATGCCACTCAAATGGTTCACCCTTTCTCCTGTCTCTCACTTCCTGACACCCCTTATTCCCCTCTCCTCCCTACCGTTGCACAGTCATCTTGCCAGATTGGTTGTGACGGTGGTTACCTCGCGATAATAAAAGTGTTTTGAGACGTCTCAAAACATTCCCCTCTCCTCCCTACCGTTGCACAGTCATCCTGCCAGACTGGTTCTGACGGTGGTTACCTCGCCCGCTCGCTGCGCCGCTCCTTCCTGCTCGTTGTCCCGGGCGCGCGTCACGATCTCCTACTCGACTTCAACACTGCGCCCGGATGGTGCCTTACCTGCGCCCCTCTTCACCCTGTCCTGCTTCCCTTCCCCATAACACAAACCAGATTGGTTCTGACGGAGGCTATCTCGCCCGTCCGCTGCGCCGCTCCTCCCTGCTTGTCTTCCCGGCCACGCGGCACGACCTGCTTCTTGACTTCAACGCTGCACCCGGATGGTGCCGTGACATCATCATTGTCAACAGCGCCAACATTCCCTTCCCCAGGGGCCAGCCTCCTGACTGGTTCACGGGCGTGGTCATGCGATTCATCATCAACCAGGAGCCGCCTGTGAAGCCCCCTCCCTTGCCCGAGACGCTCTCGGTGAGTGTGACTCTTGTTTCTGTCTCACCTGCCAGGCAGTTTCCCCCCTTCCCCACGGGACAGCCTGCTGACTGCGTGGTCATGCGATTCACCATCAACTAGCGCTCTCCAACCAAGCCCCTCGCCCTGCCCAACAAGCTGTCGGTAAGTCTTCCCTGCCCAAGACGCTTTCGGTGGGTAAATTTTTCTGTCTGCCGCCCAGCTTGGCATGCCTGGCATGTCTGCCGCCCAGCTTGGCATGCATCAGGCGTTCTTTGCCTTCCCTCCCCTTTTGAAACTCCTCCCCCGCTTGCGGTACATCCCTTTAATATACTTTTTCCTAGGCAGAAAGACAGCACTCAAATACTCACTCACTCACTCACTCACTCTCACTCACTCACTCTTTCCCTTGTGTGCTCACCCACTCACTACTCATCCCTCCTATGCAGCACATCCCCCCGGTGGACCTCTCCCAGGCAGTGAAGCAGCGTTTTCTCGCCGTAGTGTTTGTGATTGACAAGGCGTTGCATGAACCGACCGCCATGCTTCTGGATGGCAAGCACTACATGGATCCAGCCACTGAGAAGCCCAGAGTGGTGAGCAAGCATAGACTACCCGAGGTGACTTTTGAGTCGACTTAAAAGTCACCTTGTTGGATGGCAAGACCTACATGGATCCAGCCACTGAGAAGCCCAAAGTGGTGAGCTCTAGAGGCGCCTCATAAGGCAGTAGAGCAGCGTTTTCTTGCCATAGGGTTTGTGATCGACAAGGTGTCACAGAAACCGAGCGCCATGCTGTTGGATGGCAAGACCTACATGGATCCAGCCACTGAGAAGCCCAAAGTGGTGAGCACAGAACACTCAAGTACACCCCTTGTTTTAGTATTACTTACTTACATACACATTTTTAGTATCTCTCGGTGTTTAGTGCAAGTGAACTAAAAAATCTGCTAAATTTCCTTTCCTTCCCCTCCTTTGGAAGAGTTGTTTTAATGCTTTTGCTTGTGGTGTGCTTTTTGTCACTCCCTGCCTTTCAAACATGGTACCGGTACCCTTTTTTTCCAGGGAACTTCGGAGCTTTGGCACATCGTCAACCCGAGCTTCGAGGCGCACCCCATCCACCTGCACCTCATACAGCACCGCCCCATCTCCCGCCGTTCGATCGACTCCGGCGGGCTAATCAACGGCTCCTGTTCGCTCGATCCCGCCTCCTCCAAGCCCAGCTGCTTCACTGGCCCGGCTCGGCCCGTGCCGCTGCATGAGAGGGGGTGGAAGGACACCACCGTTGCATGGCCGGATAGCGTTCTCACCGTCTTTGTGCCGTTCAAGGGGCAGGTGAGATGCGGTGCAGTGTGGTGGGGGGGGAGGTGGTTGGGTGGAAGGACACCATTGTTGCATTCCCAGTTAGTGTTCGCAGCATGAGAGGGGGTGGAAGGACACCACTGTTGCATTCCCTGACATTGTTCTCACCGTTTTTGTGCCGTTCAAGAGTCAGGTGAGCTGTATACCCTGGTGTTTAGGTAAGTTCCTGTTTGGTCAGGGTTGAAACAGATGAGGTGTTGGAGAGGGGGGTGGGGGAAAAGGAAGAACACTACTGCTGTCATATATTTCAACAACTCGCCCCTTCTAATATTTCAACAACTCGCCCCTTCTAATATTTCAACAACTCGCCCCTTCTAATATTTCAACAACTCGCCCCTTCTAATATTTCAACAACTCGCCCCTTCTAATATTTCAACAACTCGCCCCTTCTAATATTTCAGCAACTCGCCCCTTCTAATATTTCAACAACTCGCCCCTTCTAATATTTCTGGTGTTTTTCCAGCGCCTTCAACGACCTGGTGTTTTTCCAGCGTCTCCTACATCCTTCAACCCTGTAGTCAACAACAGCCACTTGATGACAAAATCAGAATCCTCACAACAAGGCCTTTGCCTTCATGCTTGAAATTTGTTTTGAGTGAAAAACGGCAGAGCCACATGTGGTGGGTAGGTAGATCTAAGATGTCATGATGAGCGGCCTCATCATGTCGTTGTCCTCGTGCTCCATCGCATGGCAGTGCCACACATAGCCTGGGCCCTTGGTTGCGTCAAACGGGAACGGCTTGCCATCCTGCACGTGGGGCCACGCGAGGCGATCCAGAGAAGGAAAAATAGAGGGTTGGCAACTTGGCATTGCCAGCACGGTTGAGAAGAGGAATGGGACATGTGAAGAGGGGTTTGAGGGTGTGGCGAGGAGTGGTTCAAAAGGAGGGGTTTCAGGGTTGGATGGTCGAGTCGAAAGAGCTGGAAAAAAGGATGTTGGTAGAATCAACAGTAGTGTTGTCCTTCCTTCCTCCCCATCCCCCTCTACACCGCCTTAACCTGTTCAACCCCCAAACTATACAGGAAGGTCTTACTGTATTTGAAGAGAGGGTATTTTTGAGACGTCTCAAATGCACGCCTCAACCTGTTCAACCCCCAGACTATACAGGAAGGATTTACTGTATGTTGTAACACCAGCCATGTCCTCCTTACCCTTGAATGGCAGAATTATGATACCTGGGAATGCAAGAGTGGTGTTCTTCACCCTACCACCTTTCTCCCCACCCGACTGCACCGCATCTCACCTGCCCCTTGAACGGCACAAAGATGGTGAGAACGATATCCGGCCATGCAACAGTGGTATCCTTCCACCCCCTCTCATGCTGCGGCACAGGCCTGGCCGGCCCCGTGAAGCAGCTGGGCTTGAATGGAGAGGATGGTGCGAGCGAACAAGTGCCGTTGATTAGCCCGCCAGAGTTGATTGGACGGCGGGTGATGGGGCGGTGCTGAATGAGGTGCAGGTGGATGGGGTGCGTCTCAAATGTCGGGTTGATGATGTGCCAAAGCTCCGAAGTGCCCTGAAAAAAAAAGGGTATGAAAGGCAAGAAGTGACAAAATCACATCAGATGGTTTCAAGGAGTTCTCTCACAGGTGCAATCCGGAAGGAGAGGAGAGCTTGCAAAATATTTTACTTTACTTGCGCAAAAACGCCGAGAAATACTTAAGAAATATAAAGATTTACAGTTACCAGATGGGTGTACTCGGGTGTCTTGTGCTCACCACTTTGGGCTTCTCAGTGGCAGGATCCATGTAGGTCTTGCCATCCAGCAGCATGCCGCTCGGCTTCTGTGATGCCTTGTCGATCACAAACACTATGGTCAGCCAGCGCTGCTTCACCGACTGCGAGAGGTCCACCGGGGGGATGTGCTGCCGAGAGGGAGGGAGCAGTGAATGGGTGGGCACAGAAGGGAGTGAGTGAGTGAGTGAGTGAATGAATGAATGAGTGAGTGCATGAGAAAGTGCTGCTGTTTTGCTTGGGAAAAGTCCACTAGGGGGGTGTACTGCTAGCACGGAGAGGATTCAAAAGGGGAGGGGAGGGAGGGAAGTCAAGGAGGAGTGTAACGCCCAATGCATGCTAGACTGGGCGGCAGGTATGACATGCCAGGCATGCGGCCGAAAAGTCACCCACCGGCAGACTCTTTTGCAGGGCAGGGGCTTCACAGACTCATGGAAAGCTTGCTGGTCAGGGCAGGAGGCTTCACAGATGAGTGCTGGTTGATGATGCATCGCATCACCACGTGTAAACAGAGTTGTTTTGAGACGTCTCAAACAACTCTGTTTACATCAGGCGAGTGCTGGTTGATGATGCATTGCAACACCACCCCCCTGAACTAGTCAGCATTCACTCAACCAACCGAACAAAACAGGCGGGGAACTTACCGACAGCATGTTGGGCAGGCAGCGCGGGGGGCTTCATTGGAGAGCGCTGGTTGATGATAAATCGCATGACAACACACCCGTGAAGTGAACCACAGTGAAGGCAAGCAAGAGCCTGGTAGACAGACAGAACTAGAAGGACAGAAAGAGAGTCATGCACACACTCACCGAAAGCTTCTTGGGCAGGGCAGGGGCCTTAATCGGCGAGCGCTGGTTGATAATGATTCGCATGACCAAGCCAGTGAACCAGTCAGCGGGCTGTTCCGTGGGGACAGACTTTTTTTCACTCACCGGAAGCTTGTTGGGTAGAGCCAAAAGACTCCTGAGCAGAGCTGTTGGCTTGTTGAGAGCCGGGGGGTTCACACGCGAGCGCTGGTCGAAAATGATTCGCATGACCACACCCGCGAACCAGTCAGCAGGCTGTCCCGTGGGGAATAAGAGAGAGCGCCATGGCAGACAGACAGACAGAGAGCTGGAGAGGCAGAAAGACACACAATCACGCACTCACTGAAAGGCTCTTGGGCAGGGCAGGGGGCTTCACGGGCGAGCGCTGGTTGATGATGAATCGCATGACCACGCCCGTGAACCAGTCAGCAGGCCCTCCCACGGGGAAGGGGATGGAGGCGCTGTTGACAACAATGACATTGCGGCACCATCCGGGTGCAGCGTTGAAGTCGAGAAGCAGGTCGTGGCGCATGCCCGGGACGACAAGCAGGGAGGAGCGGCGCAGAGGGCGGGCGAGGTAACCACCATCGGAACCGATCTGGCAGATGGAGGGAAGTGGGAGGGTGGGGTGGGTGGGGGAGGAGGGGTAACGGGGGTTACAGAGGTTTTGGGATAGGCCACAGGCGGTGCAGCGTTGAAGTCGAGAAAGAGGTCATGACGTGTGCCTGGGACGATGAGCAGGAACGAGCGGCGCAGGGGGCGGGTGAGGTAGCCTCCGTGAGAGCCGATCTGGTTATGGGGAGGCAGAAAGGCAAAAGGGAAGCAGATGGGCAAAAGGGAAGCAGATGGGCAAAAGGGAAGCAGAACGGAAGAAGGGAAAAGTGGATGGCGGCACACGTGAGGGGGAAACGAAGGAGAGTGGTGAGTAGAAGAGGGGAAGAGGAGGGGGGAGAGTGGGAGGGGAGGAAGGGTTGAAGAGAGGAGAGGTGGAACTAGTTCCCACCAGGTGAAGAATAGCAGGGGTCCTCCAACAGGTGATCAATCTAGTCAACTTGAACGGTGATTAATTGGGTAACGGACGACCTTTTCACATCGAAGAGAGCGAGGCGCCTCTTGATCTCACCAGGTAGAAGGGCAGCACGGGTCCAGCAAGAGGGGGATTGAAGTTGTGGTCACCACGGCCAGCGCACTGGAAGGTGAGGTTATACGTGCGCGCGTTGGCTGCATTCACCATGCGAATCCGGTGCATCGCTCACCGAACACTGAGAAACGGCCAGACCTGAGGGACAGCGGTGGGGGAAGGGAATGGCACAACGTGAGTAGTCAGAGATGGGGATGGAGTTAGAACAACAATATCAATGCTTACATGAACCACAAGCTTGCATTGGTAAAAAACACACACAAAGCAAAGCCATCCCTTCGTCTCACCTTGCCGTTTACAACGTTTGTATTTCCAACGTAGCCGGGTATCCAGTTCGGGTGTACATTCGGCACAAAGCCCTGGTTCGGATAATTAATGGATCCGTTCGGGAAAAACATCCTGTCAGCAATCACGAGGTGCAGTTGCCGCTCGCCACGTGGCAGCCACTTCTTGAGCCGCCTCTCCTTGCCCTGCGGATCGCGGATAACGTAAAGCCCCGCCATCCCCGCGGCCATGTTCAGAGCGGTTATGCCAATCGTGTGGTCGTGGTACCACAGCATCGTAGCGCGCTGCGTGTTCGGATAGGTGTTCTCTTCAGATTCGAACTCAGGCCCGTGCTCCCCGAAGGCTGTGTACCACGCCATGGGATGGCCGTCGGATTTGCTTGGCGTCTCACCGCCATGCTTGTGGACGACTGCGATGATAACAATGTGAACAGACGGAGGTGGTAGCACGGCGGAGTTTCAGGAAAAAAGTGATTGGAAACGCCAGAGACGCGTGCATCGTGTCAGTGAAGAAAATGGGGACCGCTTTCTGCCGTACTGGAAACGCGATTCACCACACTGAATCGCTTCGAAGTGACTCGAAAATAAACGTACCAGCCAGCCGACGCTGACAAAGAACTTGAAACGAGGACGGGTTGGTTGGTTGGTTGGTTGGTTGCTAATGTCAACACTACCACGGTCCTGACTTACTGATTGGCACACCGCCGTTCTTGAGCTTAGGCGTCATGAGCGTCGGATCAATCGTGAACATGTGTGTCTTGTCCTTGATGTGATTCGCGAACTTCACCTGCGATTGTGAACATATTGAACAAGAGCGAATCAGGGGACTTTATATGAATCGGGAAATTAAGTAAGCAGGTTGTGGTAAAAGAAGTTACTACACGAAGCGCATCCAAAACAGCCATGATCGATTGACATCATAGGATAAGAGAAGCACGAGGGACGGTTTGAAATCACAAGGGACGCTTTAAAGGCTCTCACGAAAGCACAAGGGATGCTTTGAAAGCTCTCAAAGAAAGCTGCTTCCTCCTCCAAAGGTGCGGAGCAGACGAAGGTGCCGCGCTCACCGTGCAGGCCACGCTGCTCTCTCCTTGCAGGTGCTGTCGCGCTCACCTTGGTGGTGGTGCCGCGTTTCGCGACGAGCACGGGACCCGGGTAGCGCGCCGAGCTGCGGGAGACGCCGTACGCATACACCTTGGTGTCGGGCAGGTCGCGATGGAACTTCTGAAAGTTGGGCAGACCGGGGGGACGGGTGGGTGGGGGGGGGGGAGGGAGAGAGGGGGAGAGAGGGGGGTAAAGGGGGGGAGGGGGCGGAAGAAGGAAAGGAGGGAAGAGGAAGCGGGGAGGTGGACCGAGTGAGCGGGGGTTTTCGCGAGTAGAGAATTATCATTGTGGCAGCGAGACCTGGAATGTCGCAAACGCAAATGCGAAAGGAACCACAAATGCAAACGCGAACCGTCACACTTGCCTGGTAGACGTCGTAGGCGCCGAGTTTGATGGTCTCGCCGGCCGACGCGTCGAGGAAGGTGAGCGGCGACGCGGCGAGGTCGTCGACGAACTTGCACAACGGCTTCTGCGGAAACCGGTTCACGCACCGCGGCCCCGCCAGGGGTTGCGCGCGCGCCGTCATCAGCACGCTGAGAAGCGCCAAGACGACGGCGCAAAGGCGCGCGAGCGTGGTCGGAGGCATTTTGGCGGTTCGGTTCACGTCTGCTGCCGGTGCTCCGTCACGAGAGTGGAAATTGGATGCCGTCGGCACGCCGCGGCTCGATTATTATTAGTACTAAATTGCACGCCTCTGCGTCTTCTGTTAGAGAGATAATAGCCCACCCCGAGGCAGATCAGCTAGGTGAAGGGTGGAAGACAAGGAATGGGAAACGGAACGAGTGCCACTCAAAAAAACCTGGAAGGATATGAGCGACGAGGATGGCTAGCCGCTCTGATCATCAGATATACGCTGAGCGCTCGCATGCGCACGATCGTACGAACATGCGCACGATCATGCGCACGAATGGCCAGGCTTCCGCCAGGGAACGAGCGAACGAGAGCCTCGCCTTGGAACTTGGGAAGGAGATTGTTTGGGAGAGAACGAGGAGAGCGGAGGGGGATGTGGGGCGAGGCGGGGCGGGGAGAGAGCGAGGAGAGCGGCGGAGGGTGGGGGGAGGTCGGCCAGGCCTACATCGCGTACTACGCGATGGCAGCAACGGGGGTTTCGTTCGTATGGCAGCAACGGCTAAGCTGGGAGTACAGTAAGATGATCCGCCGTCGCGGCTCGTCGCGGCGGAGGGGGACATTGTGACAGTGGGGCTCGCCACCAGATAGATGCGGTGCGATACGATGCGATGTGGGTGAATTTACAGCGTACCGCTGGCTGGCATTGCCTCCACTTCCTGAAGTGTAGGTGGGGGGAATAGAGACGCCAGCAGCCCCGCCGGAGCGAGGCGAGTCGAGGCGAGCGGACGTAGGATGCGGTGGCGATGTGCATGAGGGGGGAGGAAAATTTTGCGGCGATGGGGTATGGGACAGTGAAAGTCACTCAAGGGAGGTCCACCTGCCTTGCGCATTGGCAAGTGCATTGGGCATTGTCGGGCGCGTGTTGAAAGCGCATTGGCAGGAAGGCTCGTCGGGGAACATGGTGGCAGGAAGGCTCGGGAATTGATGGAAAGTGGCGCCTGTGGCGCAATCCATCAACGCGAGCCAACGCAAGCGATCGCGCCTTCGCCCGTGGTTTTCCGCTCCGCTCGGAGGAAATGGCTTTGTCTCGGGCCTCAGCAGTCGAAGCCGAAAGCTGGGGCGCTGGGACCTCGTGTTTGAGCTAGGTGGGGGGGGGGGGGGGGGGGGAAGGGGAAGGGAAGGGTGGGCGAAGAGTAGCGGAGAGGGTAATGTAGTAGCACAGTATTTTAGGAACCACTTGTGAGCTAGGCGACGGAGTGAAGCAAACCTACTGTGTCTACAAAATGTTCTCGATTATAGTCCCGGTAAAAAACACGCGCACTGCGGGCCTTTGTGGAAAACTTACAAACCCCGGGCAAAAGGGAACTTATAGTCCCATACAAGGACAATTGCTGAAAGAGTGATTTTCCTTTGCTACTAATCGTGTTTTCCTGTCACATACGTACATTCGGACTACGCTGTCTTCAACTTCTCGTCGCACGGTTCGCCGCGTTGATATGTCGCAGGACAAACGGGCAGACAAATACAAAACAAATATGTTCAAAGCCGAAATGACAGACAACATTTTTCGTTTTACATTGTAAGCGAGATTAATGAGATGGCATTGTCGGAGCTCGCAGGGAACCGCGAGACAGGACTTCGACACAAGCGCGGTAAGATAAGCAGACAATCACAACCGCAAAAGCAAATAGTGAATCAAAACTTCCTTTCTATTATTTTCCGTAAATGCTCTGACTGGTTCGATTTGCGTCCTCTGATTGGCTGTGGAACTGATTCGTGCAATGATTCAGTCAAGATGCAAGATTTCCCGCCAAAAAAGAGACTGTAGAGGAGGGGATACACTTGGGGCATATGTTAAAATTTTACTCGACGAGGAAAAGGGCCTCTTTTAGGAAGAGCCTCTAAGCCAGAACATCTATAATTTAGTCAAGGGGAACACTGCCAGCCAAGCGGCCTGGTCTAGCCAGACCACACCCCAACCGAGATCGGTTCCGTACACAGCAAAGGGAAGATGACGGGAAGGCGGCGCCACTGCAACGACGGCAGCGCATTCCTTCCGAACCGATAAATCCAGCAAGTACGCGAGCGTAAGGGACAACGAGCAAGGCGAGGAAGGCGATTTGGAAGCTACAGTAGTTGGCAGCGAGTGTGCAATTCGGCTTTGGGTTTCTCGTTACCTGCATATAAAGGAACTCCTTTAGTAACGTACGGCGCCCAAACCTAATCTGTAACTATACTTATCCCAATTGCAATGCGTCTCTTTCGTGAATGTGGGCCTTTCTATGTCACATCTTTCACTCACTGTATGCCATGGTTGTCTCGTTGTTACTGGGCAATAATACTTTCCTCTCTGTTCATGTAAAACTATACTACGAAGTTATTGGTTGGCTATGCCCACATGGCCTTCAGAGCCAGCCTCACAGTATACACAACAGGCCTAATTTTTGGTTTTGGGCAACCCTTGTGATCAGTGTTGCACCTGTTCAAAAACCTCTTTATCAGTGTGACACTTGGTTCAAACCCTGATCCATCAGGTTTTCTCTTGTTTTTTAAAATCCAACCCAGTTGCATTAGTGTACCATATTTGCAAACCCTTATGAATTGATTATGTCGTTGCACTCAATAACGAATTTACTCATCATCATCATCATACATGCCACATGGGTTTAGCTCGTCGTCTGATGCTTCAGCAGGCTCTGGAACTTTCTCCTTCCCCTTCCGGTCCACCTGGGTCGCATGCGCAACAGGTTTCGCGGGCCTTCTGGTTTTATGCTTGCGCCAGATGTCCACCACGTCGGCCCATACATATGGGTACTTGAGCATGTGCAGCGTCATGAGGTCGCCAAGGCGGGCATCGCACAGCGATGTGCGCATCCAGCTTTTGATGATATTCTGGCGACTGAATCCTCTCTCACACTCCACTGTGCTCAGTGGCAGCACTGCGAGGGCCTGCCAGAGTGTAACGAGGTTCGGATAGCTGCGTCGCCAATCCCTGCTCTTCAACATGCTCGTAAGTCCCTGGTGGAAATCTTCCCCCGCGTGATGACGTGACAAGATGTGATAGAAGCTCCGCAGCTCCTTATTCGCCGCCTTGAGATCGAATCCTGACGTGGATGGGGTTTGGGGCGACGGATGTAAGGGAGGGTTGGTTGTTGGTTACTGTGGTAGTGTCAGGTACAGTGCGCTATACGAAATAATACGCTTGAACTAAAATGAAATCTCACCTAGAAGCATGCCGCCAAACAGCTTATCGTTCGCTGCCAGCCACTCACGGGTCTTCAACTCGCGTTGGTCCTCCCTGGATGGCCAAGACTCCACTTGAAACAGCTTCGCGCCACCCATCTGCTGCAAGTCCCACATGCGGAACTTCATCCTCGCCACGATCTCCTTCGCGAAACCCGTGCACAACTTCTCACAGTCAGCAAGCGTGCCCCCGAACTTGTGTTTCTTGATGGGTGTCTCGCTCAGCTCGAAACGATGTGAAGTCTGCCGCCCTTCCGAGTCAACCCCTTCAACCACCACCGTCCGATTGTCCCCACCGTGTTCCTTGATGAACTTGGACAGCAGCTTGCTGACCCCGCCTCCGAAAGTCTCGCCGTACACGATGTAACGGTGCGAGATGATGGTGATCGTGCGGTCAACTTGTTTGGCGACTTGCGTGGTGTCCACTTGTACAACATCGGGCATGAAAAACATTTTAGCAAGAGTAAAAATGATTGTAGCCCTACTTTCTTAAAGTTGACTACACACTTGCCTTGCGGTGCTGGAAAAACCGGTTGAGCGCGTTAAGCTCTGCAAGGATGTCTGCCAGGAAATACAAACAAAAATGAAACTTGAACGTTTGCACTGTTGCAGCGATCTTGTGGTCGTACTCCACAATCATGATGATCGCCGCCCCGAAAACTCTGCACAGCCTCGTTATTGCGTCTCCCCGCGACAGCCACCGTACGTTGAATAACCCTTGGTGCTTCAGGTTTGTACGGTGTATCTCGTGTTGCAGCTCCTTGAACCGCTCGTACCAGATGTTAGAGCAGCATATGATCTCTCCCACGGCACGCACAGCAGCATCGATCATGTTGAGGTCTGGGAATGCTTTCGCTGCATCCTTGACCACGAGAGCCTCCCTGCATCAGAGTTGAGAAGTAAGTAAGGTACATTTGAAAATGGGATTTTACGTAACAAAATGCTTACGCAAACCCTGCAAAGCTACAGTTGTCGTACCGATGCGCTACGCAGTGACACCCGACGAGATGCGGAATGCGCTCTTGCACGCGGGTTACAAGGCCGCTCTTCTCCCCCGTCATCACAGACGCACCGTCGGTCCCCATGCCGGCCACACGTTTGATGTCAAGGCTGATAGAGTCTAGATGCCTCGTGAGCACCCCGAAAATAGAAGACGCGTCGCACTTATGCACAGTCAGCAGCGCCAAGAACTTTGTGACCACGACACCGTTCTTGAGGAACGTGGAAAACACAATCAAGTGTTTGCCACGCGCGCGGTCGGTGCTCTCGTTGCAGGTAAGGCCCACGAAGGGTGAAGCGAGAAGATGTTGCAGCTGCTGTGTTTTCTGGTACTTTGCCATCGCCGCGGCCATCTCGTTGAAGCCGTACCTGCAACAATATGCGGGGAACGGTCAAATAATTGTCAGATACATTGCTACTCAAGGTGACACATCGCAATATAAAAACCAAATACGATAGACTTAATGTGTAATGTAAACGCCGTAGGACTGAAGCGGTATGTCGGCGACTCCCTCTTCTGCAAGGAAATGTATGAGCTTCGGGAACATGGCGATCGGGGCGTCGTGATCGCATATGAATTCAATGCCGCACATGAATCGAGTAAGCCGAGCGCCTTCCTTGTCTGTGTTGGCAAAATCGTCGAGGCATTTCCGCTTCTCGATCTCGGCCATGAGCGTGCGCTGCCTCTTCATTGCTTCGTCGTGGCGGCCACTCAGCTCGTGACATCTCATCGAGCCGAGCTGCAAATCGCGACCCCCCGTTCCGTTGCGCCCG